ATTATATTAATGTTATTATTTCTCTTCTGTGCATCGAAATCTTAGCTGCTCTAACAGTGTGAGAATATTTAGTTATATCAATACATACTCAAAATATGATAATATTAATCTGTTGTCTCAGAACATTTTGCTGAGCTGGACCTGAAAAGATTTGGTTGTGCACACTATGACAGAGTACTTCATGCTTGGGGAACAGTGATTTTGAAAATATTACATACAGTCTTTAGTTCAGTACTGTTTTAAAAGAGCAGAGGATTTGGCAGTCATCTCAGCAGATAAAACCCAGTGTTGCTAATTAATCACTGCAAGTGCAATCCTGGCCCCAGTGATTTCAACAGGAGCAAGTTCAAGCACCAGTATATCCCCTGAAGACACACAAGTTTAAACAGAGCATAGCTTAAAAGCAAAATACTGAACTTCTCTCTCTCCCTCTAAGCCTCCTGTGAAGAAAAATAATCTTTCAAGTTTAAAAAAGTGTGCTATATCAATAAGTAATCACATTCCTTAAAAGCTTGTATGTTTCCTTGGCTGGCAAAGTGCAGCCTTTCTTTTACAGCCTGACTTTAATGGAGTTTTTCTTGACATATGTTGCAGCCCAATTTCCTGTCCTTTGGTGAAAAAGCAATTGAAGAGAGGGTGTAATTTTCACCTATCCAGTAATACAATAAATTCAATGAATTCAAATGCCTGAGCCCCAAGATAAAATGTCTAGAACAAGAAGTAAATGCCTTTAAGTCTCTATTTTGTACTTTTACCATTGAGTATCCTTTTCAAAAAAAATACAGCAGTGAATGATGCCTGGGGAGCCACTAATTCTAGTGCTGCTGGTTACAGTTCTAATGCTCAGAGGATTTTTTAAAAATTAAATAATTAGAGCTGAACTAGAGTATAAAACCAACAGTAATTAAGGTGTGCTGATCCTGTTAATTGTAAAGAAAATATGTTGAGATCATAACATTGTAAGCAGAATAACACCTAAGAAAAGCAGGGAATGACTTCAGAGATAAGGATAAAAACATCTATTTACACTCTCTTTAAGCTGGGTGTCTATGTGGAAGATTGTTTCTGTAACAGTCAGGTTTAACGTTGTGGTTCTGACAATGTGAGCATACAGCTCAGCCCAGGGTCTCCAAGAAAGACACGTGGTTTGAATACAGTTAAAACAATAAGGTTTTCCTATGGGCTGTCCACCCAAAGTAACTTTGGCAGGGAAAATGCCTTTCTGCTCAAATGACGTGGGATAATCCAGAAGCGGAGTTACAAAGCTGAGTTCCAAGGAGTGTCTTGCAGCATAAGAGGAGCCAGTGTAGGAAGGCAGCAGAGAGACATTATGAAATAAGAGTGTTAGGACTTATCTTCCCCTGATTTATGACTTAAAATCACTGTAAGACTGAAAGTCAGCAGGGGCAGCTGACAGGGTACCTGAGATGGCACTCCTCTAAAATTTCCAGGGGGTTTTGTGGTGCTTTGTTTTTTGTTTTGTTGATGTGGTTTGGTTGTTTTTGGTTTTTTTTATTGAAGACTTAGAGCTTTTTCTTTTCTTCCAGTGGTCTTTGTTTAACTGCTGTGTGATACTGGACGTCAGCATCGAAATGGGCAATGAGAACAGCAGTGCAGAGAATCAGGTGAGTGTGATGTGTGGTTGCATTTTCCTTCCCTACTAGCCTAGAGCAAAACTGTGCAGAAATTGTTTTCACGGGCTGCTTACCCCACATTTATCTTCTCCTCCCAGTTACACTCCTATTTAAGCATCATTAATGGTAATTGAAGGCAACTTCTTGTTTGGTTGTTTTTTTTTCTTTGGCAGCAACACTGCTACATAGAATTAGGGCATTGTGGCTGGTTGCTCCCTGGGGGAGAGGAGTCATGGAGGATCTCATGGGGTGAGCAGGGCTGGCTCATCCCACCACCCCAGCCTGCGAGCAGGGGTCAAGGGCCAACCAGGGGCAGCCCCAGGCCCGGGCATCAGGCACATCTTGGAGGAATGGAGAGGCCAAGATGGGCCCAGGATGTCAGCCCGTGAGTCAGCCCAGCTGAGCAGAGCCTGTGGCCGGGCAGGGCAGGACTGTGGGGGAGCAGGTGACCAACATCCTATGGAATCACTGGGGATAAGGTCCCCAGGGCAACCGAAACGAGGTCTGGGGCCATGGGTGGGGTGGGGAGAGGCCCTGGGAGCCAGGCAATGACTACAGTGCCCTCAGAGCCCGGGCCCACAGCAGCTTCTTCTGGGTCAGAAATGACCTGCCAATGTACATGTGCTGATCCAGGAACTCAACAGCCATTTTAGGTGTGTTGTTAATCATGTTGGTGTTTGGTGATTTATTTCTAAGTTCTTGAAATGAAGGGAGCTCATATGCTATGGCTAGTCATGCATAATTGCATTAGCAGTTATTATGTTGATACAAGTTTGAATAAAAGTTGTAAGTCATCAATTTCAGCAGTCCAAATACCAGGACATGTTTCACCCTCTCTTCTTCCATACGTTATGGTAGATGACAAAATGCATTCATCTTGCTGGGTTCATTTTGGGGTTCATTTTGCTTCCACTTCAGGTCTCAGCAGATCTGCTGTACCTTGTGCCTTGCAAAGTGGACCCTCTCAAGGGACTCAGTGTTACAAGTTAGCCAGAGTTTTTCATACAGAACTTTTTAGGAGAAAAATCTTATGTAATCCTTGGTTGTTCTGGCCAAGTTGTGTTGTTAACCCAAGATCTGCTCCAAACTTTTTTCAGGGCTTGGGAAGAGGGGAACGTGTTAATTCCTGTAACTAAATAATGAGAATTTCTTCTCCATTGTGTACAACTTTCACTTAGGAAGTTTTTGAAAGGCAAATATATTTCTTCTGGAGTCCTCCTGAGGCTGAGAAGTTTTTACTTTAAATTTACTGAATTTATTAAGAAAATTAATAAAAAGCTTTTATTTTCTAATAAGGAAAGTAAACTTCTGGTCCCCTTTTCAGACCATAAAGAATCAAATGAAAATAACTCCCTCCAAAAAAAACCCCAAAACCCAAAGCAAAACAAAATAAATTCTAGAAGTGCCAGTTACTTTAAAAGTCACTATTAACAGAGAAATAGCAAGCAGTAGTAACGAAATCTTAAAAGCCACTTAAGCTGCTGAATAGCTATTGGAAAAGTATCACTTAATGAATAGTCAACATTCATACAGCCACTGGAACATTTAAATATCTTCATTTTTAGTCAGAAGCTCCCAATGCAAATGTAGTCATTCTAAACCACCAAGCCAAGGAACACAGCAGGTAGTGGATGATGAAACTGGTTTGCATGGTTTGCATTTCAAAATGTTAGCATCAGCCTTGGCTGCTCTGCTTCTTATGCATCTGCTTCTGGCTTCTGTTTCTTCGACACTGACTGCAAATTTGCAAGGCAGCTACATTGAAGTTTTCAGCAAGTTGTAAAAAAAAAATCTGGCTTCTCTTAACTTTTTCATTGGTAGCAATCTAAGCATTAGAGAAGGGGCCTGTGTTTGACCCCCTTTGCATGCAGCCTTTCCTTCCAAATCTAACACAATTAAAATAGCTCAGTGGGTGTTCTTCTACTGTGTACCAACTGACACGGGTGTTTTTGTTTGTGTTTATCAGGGAACAGCTTTGCCCAGCTCTGGCTCTCAGCTGAGTGGTGTGGAAGCTCTACACATGGTTTGCATTACAGATAGGAGAGCCTGAGCTAAGTTTAGAACTCATTTAATAAGAGGGAAGATCTGTGGAATAAATGTGCTACTATGAAGAATGTGATAGGCACTTAGAGAAATAGTAAATGCCCAATCAAGGGTAAGGTTCACCCTCAGAGGAAAATATGATCTAAATTTAGTAGAAATGAACAACAATAATGCTTGGATAAAACAAGGCTGGGGCCAGCAGTGTATTTAACAAAGTGATTTTGCATATACTAACCATATTCTGGCTTGCTGTCCAAACACAAAGTCCACGGTGCTGAGAGATTTTAGGTTTGTGCCCTGCCCTACCAGAACAGCAAAGCTTGCTTCCAAAGGTCTCTGGCACTGGCACAGCTTGTTTGGCTCATGCTGAATTAAATATAAGCTATTTTTAAGGTGCATTTCCCTTGAAAAGCAAAGCTCCACACGAAGAGAAATGTGTTTAAACTGAAAATGAAATAACCAAGAACAGGCTGCCCGGGGCAGTGGTGGAGTCCCCAGCCCTGGAGGTATTTAAAAGCTGTGGAGATGTGTTGCGGAGGGATATGGTTTAGTGGTGTCCTTGGCAGTGCTGGGATAATGGTTGGACTTGATAATCTGAAAGGTCTTTTCCACCTCAGGGTATTCTTGGGCTTTTCTGGACAGCCAGATGTTCAAAAATCATCTACTTTGCCCTAATAAAAACAAAAGTCTCACAGCTTCACAGAGGCTGGTGTGTGTGCCCTTCTACAGCCCTAGACCTCTTGATAATCTAGGCTCAGATGCCAGCTAATGAAGCCACACTTACAGATGGAACCAAGCTGACTAGGACCAACAGACATGCTCTCTAAAAGGTGTGGCAGTGTGAGGCACACGCTCTGTGTGAAGGAGTGTGAGCCCAGGCTACCAGCCCTGCAGCCTTCTCCATGCTGCTCCCAGGGCTTCTGCACTTCACTCAGTGGCCGGTTCCCAAAATGACTGTATTTTACAGGATTGTTACTGGCTTTAATGACTGTTTTTTTATCATGGTCTCCCATCTTTTAGAATTACACTATGATGAGGACATCTTTGCTTTCCTTTTAGAGGGGTGGGTGGGGGAGGTAAAAACCAGAAGGTGTTCTTTATTATTGGAAATGCAAGCACAAAATTTTCTCAAGCTTGAATAGGCTGTTTTTTCTAATTTGTAATAATCTGAACTCAGGTTTTTAAGTCTTGTCACTCAGAGTTCTGAAGAGAAGAGCTGTCATCTCTCACAGCCTTTCTCATAATTACAGAAGAGTCAAAGTTAGCAAGGAATTGTCAAGCTCTTTGAAAGTGAAAACTGCTGTTGAATTGAAACTCCATCAGCATGTATTTTGCTTTGCATTTGTATTTTAGTTGAAGAGGGAATTTCCAAGTCAGTCACACATAACTTACTTCTATATACTTTGCTTTATCCTTTCTTCTTCTTTGTCTTCTGAATAAATAACCAAACGAAGCTGGTTATTCCACATCTATGTTATTGTCTGTTTCTCTTCAAACATACTTCTTAACATGTGGTTATCTTTGTTGTTCTTGTTTGCTCTCCACTGTGAAATGTGTCAGATAGGCAACACATGCATGCTTCTGCCAGAGGGGCCAGAACTTCTGAGGAGTCTGTTTGTTTGTCTGAAGTGTCACGCTGTGTTCCTGCTAGGATTTCTCCATTTAATTGTGATGAAAAACTCTGGCCACTGCACCTACCAGCCCTGGCTTCTGCATTCCCCCGTTCCCAGCACTCGGCATCCTCACGCCCGTGCGGAACGACGGAGCCAGTCAGTTGGCACTGCTCTGCTGTCAGACCTCAGCAGGGAGGGGCTGGGCACACGTAGCAGCTTTCCCAGCCTCCAGGCCCCATTCCCACAGCTGGTAACTGGGCAGATCCTCTGAGCTCTGGCACTCACCCTGTGTGTGGACATGCTTTCTGAACAGTGCAATAACATCTGTATACATTCCAACCTCGACACTCAACTGGGAACAAAAATAACATTCCCAATTTTCTGCATAATAATTTTGCCTGTAGCACTTTCATGAGGGGTGCTGTTACCCTGCACGGGCTTCTCTCTGAGTTTGTCACATCCACATGATTCACCACGTTTACTCTCCATGTTATTATTTTCTTTCCTGTCTCCTTCCATTTCATCCCTTGCACATCAGGAGTGCACAGGGCAGCAGAACCCTCCCACATCCCATCAGTCAGCTTCTGCCTACAACGGGGCACTTGGCTACTGGCCAGCATGCCCATTACTGATGCTGACATAGCTGTAGCATACCTCCAGCCTCCATATTCACTAATGCTTACTTCCAATGATAATTGCTACTGGTCCAATATTCTACAGTGAGTAACGCCAAGCATTTGTCTGAGTTTACACAAAAAGAGCATTGTCTGGTTTTAGAGAATTATACATCCATTTATGCAAATGGAGCAAATTCTGGGACACTTCTCGCTGCAATGAGTAATTATCTCATCCTCCTTGTGAATGAAGGAGGGAGGGATGAAAGAAGAATAGATTCAAAGTTGTGACAGATTTTTAAGTCAAAAGCAGAGTGGAAAGGAAGTTGAAAGACTCCTCATCTGAATTAATGGCTAATGCCTCCTTTGCATCCGTAAAGCCACCACCATTTCTAGTGGGAAATGTTCATTTATGGCTACAGATGAAAGGGAAAAATATTTACATTTATAAAGAATCTCTAAAATTATTTACTACATTTCTCCATTTAGAAGTAGTGTGAAAATGTTGGACCTACATTTTCCACAACTATGGGTAGTTAGAAATTACCAGGCAAGCAAACACTGTTGGGAGCACTAGGGAGCACAACCAAGGTTAGAGCTTGGAGGTGATTTTCCCAACAGTACTTCATGTAAATCTAACAGCACGTACTCCAGTGGTTACTTCTACGTTCCCAGCCAGTCATTTCAGCAGGTGGTTCTCAGGAGGGAAAGCAACCCTTTT